ACAGTAGTTTTGTGATACCAAGGCCCAAAGAAGTTTAAATGATTCTCCAAAGGTAGAACTGCTTCTTAGTGCAAACTGCAAGACAGAGCTCAAATCTCTAGAATGGGTTGGCCAACTATAGCCCAGGGGTAAAATAGAGCTCACTGCCTATTTGGAAGTAATATTTCATTGGAATATAGCCATCCTCATTTATGTATGCATTGTCTGGGGTTATATCTGCCCTACAATAACAGAGCTAATAATTTTTGGTAAAGATTGTATATCCTGAAAAACCTAAAAATACCTAACTGACCTTTACAGAAAAAGTTTGCCAACCTCTACTCTACTTTAGGATTTCTGTTCATTTTTCTCTTTAGTATCCTACACAGGAGAAGATATTGGTGGAGATATGGGGTTACTTATAAAATAGATTGAGACTTAAGATGTATATTGAAAGTAACAGTCATAATGGTGACATTTGATATCCTAAAATTAAATAAGGCCTCTTAGGATACTAATCTCACAAAGTACAGGTGAACAGCTCACACGAATCCAAGGGCATATCTACATTTAGGAACCAGGGACAACATGAGAAGCCCCAGAAAATACAGCAGGAGACAAGAACTAGGAAACCATGGGAAACAAACCAGGAGAGAATCTACAGACTACCGAAGTTCAAGCTAAAGAAAGGTTCAAGGGAGCAAGAACTAAGAAAAGACTATTAGACTGGGGAATAACAGCTCACTAGAAAGTTGTTTAGTTTATGGGGATAAGTTCTGGTAACTCCTTTGTTCAACAACAACAAAAAATGGCAATCTGATCATGCCACAAAATTTTCTGATTTGCTATTTCAATGCAATTTCCATTTTGTTGTACTATACAATTTCTATATAAGAAACTGATATTTTTTTGTCGTTGTTAGTTTGCATATGATCAGTCATTAATATTAGAAAAGGGAGGGCTCTGGAGAAAGAGTTAGGCAATCGAAAAATCTGAAAGTGTCTACAGGTAGGAAAACAGATCACCTGAAGAATGAATTACCAGAATGGTATTGGATTTCTCAATAGCAGTGCGGTGAGCTAGAAGACAATGGAATGAAACCTTCAAAAGGCTGAGGGAATTTGGAATTTTATGCCTAGCCAACCATAAATCAAGAATGAGTATAATAAAGACATGTTCAGACATTCTCAAAAAACTGACCTGCCAAGTACCATCGCTCAGGGAACTCTGGAAAATGACTTCCCCTAAACTGAAAATTAATCCTAGAGAGAGGAAGGCACAGGATCAGGGGAACAGAACTAAAATCAGAACAGAAGTAAACGGAATTCTCTTGGCAAAAATAAAAAGAAATCTTGGAGTAACTACTGGTAGAACTAGAAAAATGCCTGGGTTTTTGGAATATAAACAATAACAACAAACTTATGAATTTGCAATTCACCAATTACTGAAAGCCTAATATTACTGGGATGGAGATAAAATGATTACACATAATAATATGTTTTTACTTATTCAATTGTTGAAAGGGTTCCTAGAACAATGCGACTGCCATAATTTTGTACACATTGTCTTCTGTACTCTCACAATATTTTGCTATTATAGGAATTAGGATTAAAGATTGTGGTGTATTTCCACATTGGATTTCTATTTAAGGATTTACTAATATCATATAATGAGAAAATGAAGTAATATAATTGCTAAGTATAAATTTGGGAATAAGGCCCTATGCTTTTTCATGTATTGTTTCTGTAACTATCACTCAGGAGCTATTTTGTGTTCACCTGTATTTTTTTTTTAACAGAAGTATAATTTTATCTAAAACATAAAAATAACATTATTTGATCGAATGATGTTACTTGATTCACCTATAGTTTTTAAATGACCCTATGATCTAAGGGATTTGGGGAGAGATTTTCATTTAAGAAATGGCAATAAGGATGTCATAAGACTGTTCTCTGAACTCTGGAGGCTCTTGAGAACGTGAGGCTGGAGCTCAGTGAGAGACAGTGGACAGCGAGAGATGCAAAGGGTCGGAGCACAGCACGCCTCGGGTACCACCGTCTGCTCTTCCTTTTTCTCTCTGCATAAGAAATGGAAGCAGAATGGTTTAGCATCCTTACTAGCATATCTTGGCTACTGTAAATAGTGCTACAATAAATGTGGGAGTGCAGATATCTCTTCAACATACTGACTTCCTTTCCTGGGGATACATACCCATCAGTGGGATTGCTGAATCACGTGGTCATTCTGTTTTTAATTTTCTGAAGAACCTCCATTCACATTTCCAAAATGGCGTACCAATTTATATTCCTGCCAAAAGTGTGTAAGTGTTCTCTTTTCTCTAGATCCTTGCCGGCTCTTGTTTTCTTTTGTTTTTTGTTTTTGTTTTGTTTTGTTTTGTTTTTGAGTATAGCCATTCTGGCTGGAGTGAGGTACCCAACAATGAAAAATTGGATAAAGAAAATGTGGTCTATATGCACAATGGAATACTATTGAGCCATAAAAAAGAATGGAATCCTGTCATTTTTTACAACATGGATGAACCTGGAGGATATCATGTTAAGTGAAATAAGACACAGAAAGAAAAATACTACATGATCACACTCATATGTGGGAGCTAAAAAAGCTGATCTCATAGAAACAAAGAGTAGAACGGTGGTTACCAGAGACTGGGAGGAAGGCAGGGGAGGATAGGGAGAGGTTGGCGGATGGGTACGAAGTTGCAATTAAATAGAAGGAATAAGTTCCGGTGTTCTATTGCACAGCAGGGTAACAATGGTTAACAGGAAGGTATTCTGTATTACAAAATAGCTAGAAGAGAGGCTTTGGAATGTCCTCATCACAAAGAAATGATAAATGCATGAGGTTGTGGTCATGTTAAATGCTCTGATTTGATTATTGTACAACATATATATGTATTGAAGCATCAGTTTATACATTTGTACCCCATAAATATGTACAATTATAATGTATCAATTTTAAAATTTAAACAATAAAAAGTAAAGCCCTTACTTGAAGTATATGCTGATGAGTCAAGTCAACATTATTTTCAACAAGAATCACAGCTGTCTTGATCGCACACAGACCTTTTTATCATTTACCAAAGTGCAACACTAGCTCTAGTCTAGGGTTTTAGATTGTGGTGATTTTGTTCAGCTTAGAAGATGGTTACAAGGGACAGTGGCTGGCCCCACTGAAAAAACTACAAAATATTTCTATATTATTTCTCCATGATCTTAAATTGTTACCAGAAATGGCAATAATGACATTACCTAATTTTGACAACTTAATTACCTATCTTAAAATAGTTAAAGACATGTATGTATGTAGCTCATACAACAAAATAAAATTTGCAGTCCATAAATCAGTCTTTCACAGTGAAAATTTGTTAGGAGTCATTCATAATAGAACTGATAAAACCTAAGAGATTTATGTGGTTTTCATTCTTTTAAGAGTCATGTATAAAAAGTTGAATAAAATCAGCAAACATCAGAAGAAATTTTAGAGAGCATTACGATGTTATGAAGTGTTCGGAATGTATACAAATGATAAAGAAAGCTGGATTGTTCTTAATGCTATTGAAATTTTATTAGATATCATCTAAGTCCAGCCAATTCTGGTCTCAAGTTGGAATGACACCCTCACAGTTTTTATAGAATTGCCAATGTGCCGGGGTGTGGGGGTGGGGATAACAGTTATCATTCATAAATACATATCAAATAGATCCTTTTTCCAGTCCAGTGTTTTGCAGTAAGGAGTGATTTTGCCCTTCAGGGCATATTTGACAACATCTGGATATATTCTTGGTTGTCCCTTGTGGGGTGGTGAAGGGGTGTTACTGATATCTAGTAGGTAAATGCCAGAAATGTTGCTAAACAAAAATTATCCAGCAAAATTTTCACAGTGCTAAGACTGAGAAACACTGATCCAATCCAGACTCTTAGATTAAGAAAGGATCTTGGAAAGCATATGGCCTAATTCTGTGGGAATCTATGATCTAGAATCCTGTAATGCTACAATCCTATAAGGCAGTATTTTAAAGGTTAGAATTATTATACTGATATTTTGTTCTCTGTGTGCATTTGCTCATGTTGACCTCTTTTATGTCAACACGAAAGCAATTTTTTTTTTAAATGTAGCTCACACTACCTACATGGGCATCATTAATTGGCTTTAATTTAATAATCACTTGACCCAGCTGTATCCAAAAGAGTTTTGACTTTAAATTCAAATGTTTGGTGTCACACTCCCTTAGGACTAGATACTAGAAAGCAACTAGAAATTCACTTGCTTATGCTAAACGAGAATACTTTAAAGTATAGAGTTGTAGGCTCTCTATATAGAGGAGATGTTTTCAAGACGTGAAAACCTCCAAGCACATATTATCAAATGTGCTGATACTTCCCTAAGAAAAATGCATGAGAAAGGAGCTTCTCGTAAGCTCCTGAATGGAAACTTAAATGCAAGAGTTACCAGAATTCTCTGCTAGGTTGCCACTGATGCAACGGTAATACTGCTTCTTTCCTCAGACTTAAATTCTCTTCCAACTAATTCAACCCTGCTCTTCTCAGAAATCATTCTTTTTCCTTTTAAATTTGCTTTAGCTACAATAAATCAAAGAAAAGTTTTATATTCATCAACGGTCATGGAAGTCCTGTACCACCCTGGGAAGGCGGCATTGATTTTTCATTAGTGGAGGTGGAGCTGCACTTCTGTACTTACGCATTCCTTCTCTGACTAGGTTGTGACAGTCTTGCATTTTCAAAATAACTCCAGAGAGCTCTTTGGCTTTAGGATGAGGTTACTGGCTCTCTAAAAATACTCACTGAGCTCCATTATATCTTCTGTGGTTAAAGGTTGGCCTAGTGAATTCTTGAAGTCTCTTCCTATGCTGGAATTCAATTAAGCTACACATGAAAGGCATTCTGGTCAGGCCACCAAATGAGATTGACTTTTTTTTTTTTGCTTTGCTTTTCATTTTCTTGTTTTTTTCCTTTTAGTAAAAGTCTTTACACCAAGGAAACTATCAGCTATCCTTATAAAAACAAAACACAAAAATCAGATTCATTTCAGCTTCCTATTGTTTGAGTCATACTTTGAATGTCAGTCCTAGGTCACGCCCACTTTGGAAGTCTGGGCAGACATTTTAAAAGGGGGAGATTTTTGTTACATTAAGTAAGACTAAAGATATTCATCTCTGTTCACTAACTGTCTAGACGTGCTAAACATCTGGGAAATACACCAGAATTTTCATATAAATTTCCTTCCGTGCTTCTCCTGGGCCACTCTCAGGAAACTGCTCCACGGCTGGTCTCTGTGATAAAAGTCCTTGGGCTCACTCAAAACTCCTGTTTTTATGTGCTCATCATGGCGGCAGGCAGCTCCTTCCTTCTGCTACCTTCCTAAAGAGTGGGAAAGGGAAAGGATAGTCTTTTCTCAAAGTAATGATCTCTGCAAATGTTTTCCTTTGTTCAATGGACTTCTGCTTATAATCTGAGTAACAAAGCACCATCACTACTCAGTTGTCACTTTCTTATGGTAAATATCCTTAGCTCTAACTCCTTCTAAGTGTGCTAGTGCAAGAAAGAAAACATGTTTGCTGTCCCTGAAAATTACTTTGATCCTGCTCTCTGGAAAGGATTCCCAGTCTGGAATAGTGGCTCCTTCCCTCAGCCTATTCAAACCACCCTTCTTGTTCATTCGATTCTGCCTTATTCATGAGGGTTTTTCTGATCTCTCAAACTCTCAGCAAGCTCTGACTCTGCACAACTCATAGCAATCACTCTACTAATTAATTGTCGCTGAGAATTTGTTGTGCTGTATTGTTAGATTTTTTTTTTAAATTCAGTTATACCTTGTTTGCCCGAAGAGTTTGTAGGAGTTTCCTCTTACAAAGATACTGCACTGCACATATCTTGTGTGTTTCTCAGTGTGTAGCCAAAATACATCCAATAGAGAGACACATGCTCTTTTAGGGTGGACTGCGGGCTCCTCATTTTGAAATTCAATAAAACAATACTGCAGCAAACCTATGGAAAGGAAGAAATACCTGAAAATCCACATGTGATCCTTGTACATCTCATGGCATAGTGTAAATATGTTTTATTTTTCAGGTTGACCTGGAGAGATTATACTTTGAAGACTTAATGAGATATTTTCAACTTGGTTGTGAGTGATTGAATGATGCTTTATCAAATAGTTATGTTTTTTGTTTGTTTTTTAGGTTATTTGAAATTTTTAAAAATTTGAAAACATTTTTTTGTAGAGACAGAGTCATGCTACATTGCCCAGGCTGGTCTTGAACTCCTGGCCTCAAGTGATCCTTCCACCTTGGCCTCCCAAAGTGCTGGGATTACACGCATGAGCCACCACAACTGGCCTTAGCAAGAAGTTGCGAGTGAATAAATCTGAGAGATCATTTGGTGAAATGGTTTCCAATGCAAAACTAGAAAATGATTTCTAAGCTTTGTCCATGCTAATGCAGTTCAGACTACTTGAAATATTATGACTTTTTACTTTTGACTAAAATTATACCAACTGGGGGTGTTAATAGCGATGATTTCATCCTCACAGGAAACCCTAATTACTTAACAAGGTAACTAGATATGTATCTGCTATTGATTGATAAAAAAGTAGATATGTATTATTGATAATGATAAGTCTTTAAGCACAAAACATACTTATAAATGTAGCTACCAATGTGGAAGAAAAGATGCTAGACATTGTAAATGTTGAAAAGTTGTCAATCATGCATCTAGTCCACCCCTATTTAAATGGGGCAGGGTTGAGGGTAAGAAATCTAAAACCAGCAAAAATTAACTTTATAGGGCATAGATGTGAAATGGGCAGAACTTGCATCTTATGATGCAAGATGTGCATCATAAGATGCAGATAAGAGCAGATGTCTTTGTTATAGAATGTCTTTTTTTTCTTTGGATAGATGCCTAGTAGTGGGACTGCTGGTATTTCTATTTTTAGCTCTTTGAGGTATCTCCATATTTCTTTCCACAGGGGTTGTGCTAATTTGCAGTCCCACCAGCAGTCTAAGAATGTTCCAATGTCTCCACATCCACGCCAGCATTTGTTATTTTGGGATTTTTTGATAGAGGCCATTCTCACTGGAGTTAGGTGATATAATTTCATTTTTAAACCACGACTTGTACTTAATTCTTTTGGGAATATTTCCCTGTGAGTCTAAGATTAAGTTAAAATCTTAGACTTCAACTTAAGACTTAAACTTACTTTTAAGATTAAGTTGAAAATAATTATCAGAGCAGAGTCTCTAAATCACCATCAAGCACAAGAACGTGGAAAGGGAACTGGAAAGCCATTTGATACTAAGAATTATTTTTTTTTAAATGTTGCATTAGCTATTTATTTTTGGAAAATAAATATTTTAAAACTGTTTACTTTAGAAGCAAATATTTTTTAAAAATAAATTTAAAAGTGGTGTTATTGACATGATATTTTAAAGAGTAGTTTTGCTGGCTAAAAGATAATTTAATATTTCCTCTGAAAGAGCCTAGTTTTTATTTTATTTTATTTTTAGCATCTTTCAACCAAGACATCAAATTATAGTTTTAAAAGCTATTTTATTTCGAGGTCGTTCTTTGTGATTCAGATTCTCCAGTCAACCCCTAATTCCCCATGTTCGTGATGGAAGCAGTAATATAATTAAATGAAATCTACAAACAGGCCCTAAATTTTATTTTAACCATAACTGCACTATTCTGCCACATCCAAGTCTTTTACTAGAAATGCTAACAACCAATAAAAGGAATGCTTTACTAGAATCTTTTCAGTAATCCTCCCCAAGCTCTGCTCAGGCTTGATAAGCAGTAGAAATGGTCCACATTTGTGTGTAGATAATTTGAGATGTTATTAGTACACATAATAGATAAATGTTTTAAAGACGGAGTTGGATATAATATATGAGGACTAGCATTCACAAGAAATGATAAACAGATTTAAAAATTGGTAGGTTGATAGATGGATTGATAAGTAAACAAATTAAGATCACCGGTTGGACAGTTCATACAATGGAGCCTTCCATTAATTGAAACTTGAGGTCATAAATGAATACAAAAGTATTTTTACTTTGTTTTGTTTTATTTTGGTTTGATGAAACTCTTCCTAATATACAACAGTTCATATTTATCTTATAATTAAGTCAAGTTTAACAAATAATCTTTTATAATAATTTGCTTAGTGTTTGATGATGATGTAGCATCCAAGGTTTGGAATTTCAGTGGTCAATTTACAAGGCTAAGGTCATAAAAGGTATAGGACAATAGGTAGCAATGACAAAAGTGAATGGACACTACTGATGAAATGAGTTGCAGTGAGAACTCAATTACAGACATCCCCGACTTTGTGGCAGTTCGACTTAAATTTTTCCACTTTATCAGGATGTGACCTCATGGTAAATTGAGGAGCATCTGTACATGCCGGGAGTGGAAGGCATTACCAGGGCTGGTTGATAAAGAAGGAATAAAGTTCAGGCTGAGCTGACCTCTTAGAGGAGCAGCTTGAATGGATTGAAACTAATCTTAAATTCTAGAATATTCTGTTTTCAAGAGCAGACTGCTAACCTCACCTCTGCCAAAATTCCTAAAACAGTAATAAAAATAATGACAGTTATGACATATTAGCATATGTTAGGCATTATTATAAGCTTGTTAGGTTAATTTCAGCATTTAATCATCACAACAAAGCTATATGATAGATTTTATTATTAGGATTTTACCAAGAGGAAAAGGAGGCACAAAGAGATTGTAATTTGTGGATGGTGTCACAGTTATTACGTCCCAGTGCTGAGATTTGGTTCAAACCTGGGAGCCCAGCTTGGGAATCTGGACTCAACCACTACAATCTATTCATAAAAAAACTAGTTTTCTAGTGTATGAAAATATTTATTCTTTTTTTAAAGTTTTGTTTTTACTTGATACATCATAATTGTACATATTTATAAGGTACAGTATGATGTCTTGATGCTTGTATACATTGTGTAATGATCAAATCAGGCTAATTAGCATAGCCATCACCTCAAATATGTATCATTTCTTTGTGGAGAACATTCAAAATCCTCTCTTCTCGCTATTTTGAAATACACAGTACATTATTGTTAACTATACTCACCCTACTGTGTGATAGAACACCAGAACTTATTCTTCCTTTCTAATTGTAACTTTATACCCATTGACCAACCTTTCCCCACTTCCTAACATCCCTACCCTCCTTAGCCTCTGGGAACCTTTTATTTTTACTACTGCCATGAGACCAGCTTTTTTAGGTTCCACATGTGAGTGAGAGCATGAGCTATTTATTTTTCTGTGCCTGACTTATTTCACTTTAATATTGCCTTCCAGGTCCATCCATGTTGTTGCAAATGACAGGATTTTATTCTGTTTTATGGTTGAATAGTATTCCATTAGGCATATATTCTACATTTTAAAAAAATCCTCTCATCCATTGATGGACATTTAGGCTGGTTCCATGTCTTGGGTTTAGTGAATAATGCTATATAAACATGGGCATGCAGATATCTCTTTGCCATACTGATTTCATATCTTTTGGATATATACCTAGTTGTAGGATTGTTGGATCATATGGTAGTGTTCTCTCTCTCTCTCTCTCTCTCTGTGTGTGTGTGTGTGTGTGTAATCTCCCACCACAACATGATTTTTTTTCATATACCTATTGGCCATTTGTATGGCTTTTTTAATTTGAGAGATGTCTATTTCAGATAATTTGCCTATTTTTTAATTGGATTTTTTATTTTTTGCTATTGAGTTATTTTCAATCCCTTGACAGTTGAATAGTTCACAAATATTTTCTCCCATTCTACAGATTGTCTCTTCACTCTGTTGAGTGTTTCGTTTGCTGTACAGAGGTTTTTTTAGTTTAATATAGTTCCATTTGTCCATTGTTTTTGTTGCCTGTGCTTTTGAAGTCTTAGCCATAAAATCTTTACCAGGATTATCTTTTAGTGGTTTTATAGTTTCAAGCCTTATATTTAAGTCTTTAATCCATTTTGAGTTGATTTTTGTATGGTAAGAGATGGGGGCAGGGTCTAATTTCATTCTTTTGAATATTGTTACTCAGTTTGCTCAACACCATTTATTATAACAGGTGTCCTTTCCCCAAAATGTATTCAAGCACTTTTGTCAAAAATTGGTAAACTGCAAATACGTGGATTTATTTCTGGGTTCTCTATTCTGTTCCATTGGTTTATGTGTCTTTTTTTAATACCAGTATCAAGCTGTTTGTTATTATAGCTTTGTGGTATATTTTGAAGTCATGTAGTATGATGCTTTCAGCTTTGTTTTGTGTGTGTGTGTGTGTGTTCATATGTTTTGTTCAGGATTTTTCTGGCTATTTGAGGTCTTTTATGGTTTCATTAAAATTATAGGATTGTTTATTTCTATTTCTGTGAAGAATGTCATTGGAATTTTGATAGGGATTGCATTGAATCTATAGATTGTTTTGGATATTGTGGCCATTTTAATGATATTAATTCTTTTGGTCTATGATCATGGGATGTCTTTCCATTTGTTTGTGTTCTCTTTAATTTCTTTCATCAGTGTTTGTAGTTTTTCTTGTAGGGGTCTTTCACTTTCTTGATCACCAGATTTATAATGACATATGGGGTAATAATTATTCTCATAGTACAATTGCCCCTCCTTTTACTTCTCTTTCTCCTTCCTTTTCTTCAAAAGAAAAGAGAATCAACAATTCCTTTTGTCAATTCTATGTAAATGGAATTTATTAAACTATTTCACTTTTCCTAAATGATGTGATTTGACTTTAACTTAGATTATTCTAATAATAAAGATCATCATTCAAATTTAAAGGATCAAAACTGCCAAATATTTCACCTTTAGTTATATTTCAGAGCCAAATATAAAATAAATACTTACTGAGCATGTACTATGTTCCTAAAGCTATTCTAGGAGTATACAGAATATTAATTGTAGCCCTTTTTCTCAAATAATGTCTGACTTGAGTGAAGAAGCAAAAGTTGTCAATCATGAAAAGTCAAGTATGTGAAATAAATAGTAAACAGTAGAAAAACTGAAACATACATTTGAAAAATATTTGTAATCAGCATCAATATCTAATCTGCATCTCACTACAACCTACTGAGGATTATATCTCATTATATTGATACATAGATTTCTTTTTTTCTTTTCTTTGGGCATATATGGGGTTACATATTTTAAGGTTTAATAAATTCCTTTCCCCTCCCCACAAGTCTGATTTTCCAGCATGACCATCCCCCAATGGTTCACATCTCACTCATTATGTATGTATATACCCCCCCCCCTGCCCAATACCCTATTGACGTAGTACTATGTGTCCACTAGGTGCTGCTCAGTTAATACATTTCTGGTGAATATATTGGTGCCCTTTTTCTCCATTCTTGGGATACTTCACTTAGTAGTACTGGTGCCACTCTACCAGGAAATATAAATATGTGCTTATATCACCCGTTGTTCTTAAGAGGCTGAAGATAGTCCTCCAGGTATACATATACCAACATTTATTAACCATTCTTGGATTGATGGCACTGGCCTGTTTCCACAGCCTTGCAATTATGAATTGTGCTGCTATAAACATTGAGTGGCAGTATCTGTTTTTGTAGGTGCATTGGATCTTTTGGTAGATGCCCAGCACATGGGATTGCTGGATCAAAGTAGATTCACTTGTATCCTTAAGGTATCTCCCATATTGCTTTTCCACAGAGGTGAACAGTTTGCAGTCCACCAGCAGGTAGGTTGTTCCTCTCTCTCCGCATCTACTCCAGCATTTGTTATTATGAGACTTTTTGATAAGCCATTCTCACTGGAGTTAAGTATATCTCAAATTGAGTTTTGATTTCATTTCCCTGATGATTGAGATTGATGAGCCATTTTTCATATGTTTGTTGGCCATTCTTCTGTCTTGTTTAGAAAAGTTTTGATACATAGATTTCTAAGGTAAAGTGATTTGCAAGAGTTCATCTTCTTAGAAACACAAGAATTGAAACTCATGACTTCTAAATTTAAATCCATACCATTTTCCATTTTTCCATGGTGTCCTTCAAATGACATAAATGTCCATAATTGCCCTTTAAATATTATGAAAATCCAGTAGGGGGCTTTTCAGAAAATCATGCATAAATTACTGGGGCTAGAAATTGAATATATTAGTCTATTTATTGAAGTGATAAGAAAAAAAAATGAAAATTTAAAATAAAATTAGACTTAAAAAAAGGAGACCATTTTAAAGAATAGTCTGCTTGTCTTCAGACACATTTATCTCTGCACCTTGTGTTTTCAGAGTAATATATTCACGCAGGACATCACTAAGAAAGAAGATGGAGCAGTTTGGGGAATTGTTTTGTGTTAGAAAATCGGCCAGACAGGACAGGTTGAAGTAACTAGGGTCGCAGGGATCAGGTAGCCTAATAAAGTCAGCCATGTTCAGGAATCAGCTTAAAATCCAATACTATTGAATAATAGGTACAAAGATCAACAGTATAAACAGGTATGAGAATTTAGAAACCAGGCAGATCAGGGATCTGGAAGATTGTACAAATGGAAGTTACAGGAGTGTGCCAGAGAGAGACAGCCTGGGCAAACTGGGTGGAGGTAGCCAAGGCCCCTACTGTCCTATTCTTGAGAAGTAGTGTCCAAGAGGGAATGAGTGTATGAACCGGGTCATCCTAAGGACTTGACCAGAGTTGGTAGGAGAAGTAATGGTGGGATATGTTACCTATAGTCATTGCACCTTTGTTATAATTATCCTTGTAACTGAGCAGGTCTTTTTGGCAATAAACCCATCTTATGTGTTCAATGTGCTTGAGCTTTCTCCCTTTTAGCCATAGGAGTGACCATGTAATCTTAGCTTGGCATATCAAAGTTCTATGTCAACCTGGCCTTAGTGATGGATACATGCACATGTGACTCAATTGGACCAAAATAGCCTTCCTATGGCTTTTGCCAAAATTTCCCAGAAAAAGATGATTTCTTCTCTCTAGATTTGCTAGATTTGCTACTATAATCCTAGAACTGCCAATGGGTACCTTTGCCCCCACATAGCCTGAGAGTTTTTATTATAACAAGGGATAAGACCACCTGAAAATGAAGCCAAGAAATCTGAAAGCAGAGTCCAGAGATAGAGAAGAGAAAAGATCCCTGAGGGAATCGTTTGCATTTCTGAATCCCTTCATGGCCACGGCACACTTGTTCCCTTCTCAGTTAAGGAAGCCAGTATATTTTCTACTTTGTTTAAGCTAGTTTGCATTGAGTTTCTGTCACTTGTAACTTTAGTGTCTACTAATACAGTTAGAAAATGCAGGCAGCTACAATAACCAGGTAGAATTTGGATGCTAGGAGATAGGTAATTGTAAGCCATTGAAATTTTGTCACAGGTGAATTATATTAGAATATAATTAGATCAGAAACTAGACTTATTCAAGTAAATGTTATGGGACTTCTTACATAATATTTATATGTATAAATGAATAAAGAGTGGAAAAATAAAAGGGTAAATAAATGGGAAGTAAAATTCTTAAAGAAATTGCTTATTTATTCTACCCTATGTTATAGCTATTTGGTTATTACAGTGATTTAATAAGGTTTCCTATTTCCTAGAACACAAATACCTGTTGATTTGAAATAAATTAGGTTGAATCTAAGTAGCTGCGAAAATGGAAGAGAAAAGAAAATGGCATTTATGACCACTTATCTGGTGCCAGACAGTGTAAAACTGTTTTCCAATTTTGTGCCATGATTTTTGCCACAATCTAATGGGAAAGGCATTTACATCTCCATTTTACAGATTTAGGAAATTAAAGATGAAGTAGGGGAGGTGATTCCCAAGGTCAGGCAGAGCTGGGATCTGAACCCAGTCCCTCTGATCTTTGCTACTCTGCCTCTGTGAGCCTACAGCCGACTCAGGTGTGGATTCTGAAATGAAATACCGTCACACGTGAGATGATGCTCCTCGCGTCGGCTTTGATTCTAAATTATGTGAATTTATCTTTGATGGATTGACATTCTCGGTGGTCCTTATTAAGAAGTAAAACATCCTAGTGGAAGAAATCAGGAGTATTTAAGCTTTTCCCTCTCCTGTGTTTAGAAAACCCTGGCTGTGTTTTCTCCCTCTCCCTCCTCTTCCTGCAGAACTATGGTATCAGAACGCGAGCCCGTACCAAAGAGCCAGGTTTTCCAGGTATGCGTTATTTTATAACCACTTCGAATAAGAGGCCCTTCCAAACGGACGGCGGCTTCCAAAAATGTGTTTCTGGTAAATCAAAGGAGGGCCCGGACCAGCGCAGGCGAGCAGGTGCCGAGCTACTTCGTTAGTACCGCATTCGTAATCCGTCCCCTGGAGGAGCTGACACCGGGCCACCGCTGCAGTCGCGGGCGGCCGGGCCGGGCAGGCCGGGTCAGCGGAGCGCCCTGCCCGTGTCAGTCCCCGCGTTTGATAAGGGACGCTGTGTCAGGCCTGTGCTTTCTCAGGATGCAGCCACACATTTTAAATCATTTCGAGTGTGGGCACGAGCCGCCCAGCCTCGCCGGTGCGGTGCACCCCTCGTGTCCCCTTGGGACGTACCTGCGCCCGGGGCTGCAGGGCATCCAGGAGGACGACGGCCCGGCCGCCTCTGCTCGTCGCTTACCGTGCAGTAAACTGCGATTTGCCCAAGAAGCCGTTTAAGGCCGGTCCAATACAGGGGGGGCGCGGAACCCCAGAAATTACCCCTTGCAGCTGAGTGCTCACGGGTGTCGCTCGTCTTTCCACCGGACCGAGGTTCCAGCTGGGCCGGGTAGTTTTATTGAAATGAAGGGCTTTCTGCTGGAGACTCTATCTACCTGGGCATGGACATGTCCTGTTTCATTTCCCCCTTTCCAAAGCCGCATGCGTCCTTTCCAACGGTCTTTTAACGTTGCGGCCTTTCCAAGAGTACGTTGTGCCCCACGCTGGCGTGGGTCCCTTCTCTGGGCCCTGTCACGCAAGGCGGTCTCTGCTCTTCGGAGATCGCTTCGCTCCCGGTTTTGACACGTGTAAATGCCATGAATAGATGTGGGGTGCCATCGTTCACTATGAATCCGTTAAAATGAAGATGAATCATAAAATTCCTTTTTAAAATGTTGGGGAGGAAACAAGCGCCCTTCCCCCCGAATGAGCTTGGTCCTCCTGCGTGGAGCTGTTTCAGACCATGCGTGCAGTGCCAGGAGCTTGGGCCCAGTCCCCTGCAGGAGTCTCACCGAGCGACTCACATTCCTTTCATGTTCAAAACTCCCCTTCGCAACAGTGGGGCTCTCTACATGGAACGAGTTCAGAACATCTAGTCCCTCTTTCCATTCTGTAAGTGAGCCCAACAGGAAAAATCTCACCTTTAGCCACTTTCTCCCAAACATTCCGACCAGTCTGCGCTCTGGGAATCACAGTGTGCGTTGAAATCTAGCTCGGGTTTTTCTCCTTGGAAAACAGGCAGTCAGGTGGAGCTGGCACGGCGAAGCTTATATTTAGCCCAGTTGGATTTTTTTAAAGTAACCCTTTCTACAGACCCAGCCTGTTTGTTATAAATCTTTTCAAGGAGCCAGCCACACTGGAGAATGCTGACATGAGCCTATTGTTATCACAGGTTTATCTCAAAGCCAAAAGATCTATTTCAGGATTAATAACATGTGCTAATGTATTGAATTAAGTACAGATTTTGCTTTCTCAAGGAATCTTCAAAGCTACTTTTCACACATCTAAGCACAAGGAAGATTTAACACAATTCCACTCCCTACTGCAAGGTACAAGAAATCCAAACAACCCATAAATGATAAATGACTCTCTGAGAGCGTAAGTGCCACCATCTCTGATTTATTCATTTGGTTGATAGCTTTCTCAACATATCTGATGAGTCTCCATTATTTGTGACTTGTGTTCACACACACACACACACACACACATGCAAGGACACAAGCACACACAATTCTATTTGAGTCTATAGAAAGCATACTTCTTGAAATAAAAGGAAAATGCAGACCCCTCACTTCTTTGAATTTTATGATGGTAAAACATTAACATTCCATATCATGAATTCTATTTTTCTCTTCATCATCCATAGCTCTGGTATTTAACAAGAGAAAGATTTTGGAAATGAATCATTTTGCAAATGAATCATAGATAAAAAACTTAGAAATGCTCTTGTCATTTTTGATTTCTGTAATTGTTCAGTTAGCAGAACATTGTGTCCTGAAAAGCAGTCCCTGGCCCATTTATGGTCTTGTTAATCATCTACTTTTCCCAGACTGGGATTTTCCCCTTACCTTAAACATGATGATTCCCTCTCCCCACCCTCAGTCAACTGTTGAGAACAGTGAAATATTATTAAAAATGGGTTAATTCCATGGTACATTGGTTCCCTGGAAGAGACTATCTTGTATAATTCCTCAATTTTATCATCAACTATTTTAAGTTAACAACTGATAATGTTTTACAATTTTGGCTAATTTTATCAACTCGTTTGCCTCAGTTATTTGCTTCATTAATCACTTGAAAATAAGCATAGGAAAATACACGATTTTATAAAATCAAATGAAGAATATTTTTTCACAAGTTCAGCTCTATTCCTATTTGATAAGGTTACATAAAAATCTTCAGATTAACTTTTTTTTCTTTTCTTTCTTTTTTTTTTGAGATGGAGTCTCTCTCTGTTACATGGGCTAGAGTGCTGTGGCATCAACCTAGCTCACAGCAACCTCAAACTCCTGGGCTCAAGCAATCCTCCTGACTCAGCCTACCAAGTAGCTGGGATTACAGGTGTGAGCCCACCACACCTGGCCTCAGATTAATTCTAACATACTGAAAATATCTCATCTGAGTCAAAATTATTCAGTGAGCAAGAGAAAGCATTTTTAATACATTCCTTATTATGGAATAGATTTGGATTTACAGACTGGTTGTGAGACTTCAGAGATTAGTTATCATTTCTGTTCCACAGTTTCCTCATCAGGAAAACAGGTCGTGAGCACTAGAGCTGGCAAGCACAGGCCTCAGTCACTTTTCCAGGCTATAGCACCTGAGCTGTTTAGCCAGACTCAGCCATGTGCAGAAATAATGTGGACATCAGCTAAAGAAACCTGTTGTTTCTAATAATTAGAAACTAAATAACTAAAATTAGTTATTAGAGAGAGTAGTACAGAGAGTTCCCATATGCCCCCTACTCAGATTCTCCTCTTCTTTTCTTCATTGACACATTGTAACTGTACATATTTGTGAGGTAAAGTTTGATGTTTTGATACATATATATTTTGTATGATGATCAAATCAGGGTATTTAGTGTGACCATCATCATCACCTCATGCATTTATTATTTCTCTGTGGTGAGAACATTCAAAGGTTTCTCTTCTAGCTATTTTATAATATAGAACACCTTACTGTTAACCATCTTCACCCACAGAACGCCCTCCTCAGTCTCTGGTAACTTTTGTTCTACTTTCTGCTTCCATGAGATCAACTCTTTTTTTTTGTTTTTTGGATTCCACAGATGAGTGAGATCATGTTGATATTCACCTTCCTGTGTCTGTCTTATTTCACCCAACATGATGCCCTCCGGTTCCATCTATGTTGTCAAAAATGACAGGATTCCATTCTCTTTTATGGCTGAATAATATTTTATTGTGTATATAAGTCCACGTTTTCTTTCTTTATTCATCGGTCAGTTTCCCTATTATTTACATTTTATATTATTATGGTATATTTGTCATAGTTAATTAATGAATATTGATGCATTATCATAAACTAAAAGTCCATGGTTTATTCAGATTTCCTTAGGTTGTAGTAAATATTCTTTTATTGTTCTAGGATTCCATGTTACATTTAGTCATGTCTCTTTAGGCTCCTCTAGACTGTGACAGTTTCTCTGACTTGAGAACACATTCTTAAGTGCTTAGTCTAAGCTTTTACTTTTTTTGTTAGCTAGAATACATTTAGGTAGTTTTGTTTTTAGAAGTAGAGTTGGTTGGGGACAGAGATGGAAAGAGGTAATTAATCCACTTTTCATCATTGAATTAGTCAGATGGATTAGCTAACACCTTTTTGGAAAAGCTTTTAAAAATCTCTATCAGGAAACAATTATAAATTTAAGAATACACTTGATGAAGAATATCCAGTGTCAGAGAGAATATCACCTTGCGTCTCAATACCAATTTGACTCTCCATTAAAGTGATGAAGATAAGAGTGTTTATTCATTTGTACATTGACATATTTTCAAGGTAGTGTCTTACATGTCATTTTTCTGCCTTACAAGATAAAAAAGAAACAGTTTGTGACCATTTTCTATTTAAACAGGGTAGTCTTAGGTTTAAGATAAACAAATGTACCAAGGAAATGTATACCCCCACCAAATGCATTTATTTAAGTGTCCATGGCAATTTTGAGCCCTCTAAACTGACATCATTCCTTTTATTTCTCAAGTAGGAGCTGTTAGAGAGATGGTACTAATTAAAGAGGTTTGTTTTGTCTTTACACCATGTCATTCCTTTGTTACATTTTATGTACTTTGAAATGATTAAAAAAAAAAACTTTGCCTTCAGAATTGTAAAATATTATTTTACAATTAAGAGAAAGTGCTGGCATGTCAAATATTCAGGGCATTTCATTTTCTAATAAGTAGTACAACTGAAAACCAAAGATCAAACATGTTCTCATTTTTATTTACAATTTTGCACTTAAGACCATGCCAAGTAAATTTGGCTATTTACTGAGTTAAATTCCTTTTCAGTAGGTGGTTCAGATTTATAAGCAATACTGCATAAACAACTACAATAATATAAAAACTATTTGGACACTTCCTTAATTTCACTCTAGGGAAATTTAATCTCAACATTACCTTACCTTTCAGTTACATAAAATCATAGGTTTTGGGGGTTTGCCATTCCTGAGCTGAGAAAGCTCCTCTGGGCTGTCATGGAAATTTTATGATGAGTGAATACATTGAATAGGGCAATGGGTGCAGGCCATTCCTGTGTATCTGCCTATTCATTCATTCAGTGAACCCCTGACTATTTAACAAGTACTAACTATGTGTAGGCTACCACACTTAGTGCTGCGGATAGAGTGATAAGAGATGCAATTGTGCCTTGTGATGACACATTCTAGCAGACAGCCCTGTATGTGTGGACAAATGGAAGGGAAAATGATAAGACTTATAGTGACATTAAAACCAAAGTAGTGTTGACAGAGGAGCACCTACAATGCAGCAATTGTGTTCTCAGTGGGTACTTTCAACACTGGCTGATTTGGGAACTGGGAATAGAAACTACCATTAGGGATCAGGAAACAGCTTAGGCTGTGCACCAGCCCCGGGCCAGTAAATGGCTATGATTCAGCTCTGGAAAAAGAATTACATCAATTCTTTTGGAGGCTTGTTTACATATATGCTCTAGGTTTGTGTATTACATCAAATAATAGAATGGAAGAGTATAGGAAATGTTTGAATCATCAAGGAAGAAACTCAGGGAGTCATGTTGATGATATTTTTCTCAGATTTTTCACCTCCTACTTGCTGAAAATATCCAGCTACTCCAGAAACCAATTTAGGATGAACTATTTTTTTATGCAAACCCTTTTTTTTTTTAACTCTAATGAAATCACCATTTGGAGAACAGTACAAAGAGTATGTTCAATATGTTAGTGGTTTAATTATTTTTGATTTTTCTAACTATATATAATTTACATATATATTAATATTTCAAAGGTGTTTTTAATTTGATGATAGTTTTTTGGTTTCTTTCTAGAGATTACTAGAGATTAAAATCAGAGATTACTTCTAGAGATTAAAATCAGTATCTTGGCCATAACCTACATTAGTTGATTTCTTACTCAGATTTGTGATGGCAAATAAAGTCCATAAATGATGGACACCTAAATTATGAGGCAGACCAATATTTACAATGATCAAATTCTGGAAAATTCTCTTGTTATATCCCAAAGCTAGCCTATAATGTCTAGAATTTCCCACATGGTTCAGTGCCAGAATAGTTGTAGTATCACCAATAGACTCAGTATTTGGGTCTGTTAGGGTTCAACAGCTGGATCAAACTAGAGGAAAATACTTCAGCAGGTCCTAGAGAAATTAAATGAAGGTGACTCACTTTGGGAAGCAGTCTGTAGACTTAGGAGGCCACTCATAAAACACATGCTAACAAGAAGTCTTACAGACTGGATTTAGCAGCAATGGTTGGATTCTAAAGAGAGCCATGTTAGGTTGCCCAGATTGATAAAACTAGGAAATGGGCAACATTTATTCCTGGTGAGATCCTGTCTTTACTGGGAGTCTATTTCCCTCTCCAGTGATATTTTCTAATCATCTGACATACTCTCTTGCCACTGCCCTCTTTTATATCTCATTCTTAGTCCTTATGAAAGGATTAACTTTTTTTTTTTTTTTGAGATAGGGTATCGCTCTGTTGGCCAGGCTGGAATTCAGTGGCATGATCACAACTCACTATAACCTCATATACCTGGGCTCAAACAATCCTAAGCTTCCTGAGAAGCTGGGACTACAGGTGGATGCCACCATGCCCTGCTAATTTATTATTTCTTTTTTTAGAGGTGAGATATGGCTATATTGGCCAGGCTGGTGTCAAACCGCTTGCCTCAAGGAATCCTCCTTCCTTGGCCTCTCAAATTGCTGAGACTACAGGCTTGAGCCACCATACTAGGTCTATCCTTAAAATATTAGAAACTATTTTTATAATTATCATTTTTGATTACAATCTATTTTTGATGATATGGTTATATTCTGACGGTGTGGTGATGTTTTGGCAATATGATAATGCCGTGGTGATTGAGGACAGTGTGATGGCTGGGGATGGTGTGGTTGTTGTTGATGGTGTGATGGTATAATAATGAATTAGTTAGTAGTGTTGCTGTGAATACCTATAAACGGCTGACTGTAAGTGAGTAGGTGCCAACCCTGTTTGTAACGTTCAGAGTTGTGAAGGTAATAATGGATGTGTTAAAAGTGGCTTCATGTTAAAATTATCTAATCAATTTCATGGAACACAGATATTTTCCATCAAGAAGAAGATTCTGCACATGTACATAAAAATCAAGATGACAAATGCATAGCAAGAGGAAGCTGGTGGCATAGATGAATCTTTTCCAAAAGCTCTTTTTTTTTACTTCCTTTGATTTCTACAGATTCCAATCCTGACAACTGAATTTGCCACAGCCCACTTGTATATCAAATTTACTGTAAATAAATAAATGCTGTTTAAAACTATTGTATGATCATTTTTCACTGAAATGAGTATGCAGTGCAACTTCTGACTCCAGTGCAATAATTGGTGATTAAAATATATGGGTTGCCTATAATCTCTGATTTATTGTGCTAATTTCTCCTATTAGATAAGCCTAAATGTTTTCAAATGATTAAAAATAACAGACACTTAAAACATACAGTTTTTTCTATGATATACTTATATTAAATTGAAGGTCTCCTAACAATGCAATTTTAAAAATTATTTCTTATAAAATTTAAATGACTTTTTTGTACCATATTTGGCCAGGTAATTTTGTTTTAATTTTTTATTTTTTTTATTTGAGACAGAGTCTTACTCTGTTACCCTGGCTAGAGTGCAGTAGCATCATTGCAGCTCACAGCAACTTCAAACTCCTGGGCTCAAGTGATCCTCCTGCCTCAGCCTCCAGAATTGTTGGAACTATGGGTGATGCTCAGGCTGGTCTTGAACTCCTGAATTCAACTGATGCTCCCACCTCAGCCTGCTAGAATGCTAAGATTACAGGCATGAACAACCCACCCAGCCTTGTTTTAACTTTTGTAAGCTCTGGGGCTTGATGTCTTCTAACTCTAGAAATGTTTTGAATTCAGAAAATATCTGGCTTTAAAAATTGTGTGTCTGCATATATACCGTTTATGTATTTCATCAGGAGCTATATGCATGTCATATGAAGGCTAAATGACAATGTACCACATAGCTTCTGGATTTCAGTCTCTCCTTGGTATAAATCCTGTGTCCCAGAACTTACACTCTAGGTAATCCCAATTATTGTCATTAAACAACAAAAGCACACAAACCTCTGAAATATTAATATAGTAAGGTGCATACTACTATTCATGTCTCCTTTTCAGTTCAACAGGAGTCCAGATATGGGAGAAAGAATGCTGCCAGATTTACTTGGAGGCCAGCCCTGACAGTAGTTGCTGGCACTGGTCCAATTTATCCCACACAGGCCCTGCCTCTTCCCGCATTCCCTGGGCTCCGTTTCTCCTTTCCACCTCACTGACTCCTTGTCCTTTGCATTTTCCCTTTAGAGTTCAAAACTCAAGCTGTCAGGTCTAATCACGACATCCGCCCACTGTGTGTACAAAGGAAAGGAAATGCCACTGGGACTGCCATTTCAGTTCACCACCACGATACCTCCTCTCAGAATCTGCAGATTTATGTATGATATAGCAGAAAAATGCAAACCGCAGCATTCCCTGCACGTTACGGTAAGTGCATTTTGTATGTGTACAACATTGTGTCTCAGCTTTTAAAGAGATATAAAAGTTAATGCAAACATTAACTAAAGTATTATATATCTGCTCCTCATAGATAATTAAGGGATGCTTGTTGCATTAAATTATTAAAGAGAAGTTTAAAGGGCATTAGCTGATCAAAAAGATGAACATATCCAAGATAAGCTATTTTAGTCAAAAATAGGAACTAAAATGATAAGACACATCTTATAATGACATATAAATAAATATAAGAAGACAGAGTATTAATGCAATGAGTATAAATCATGTACTATGATACTGAAATTAAATTTATCTATAGAAATGTAGCATGACAGTGTCCTGGTAGAGTGAACGTGGGTCTGAGGCACATAAGAGTTCAAAATAAATTATGAAAAAATATCTGTGTAAGGCTTATTGAAAATCAAATTTGAGTGTGGTTTTTTTGTCCCATGCATTTAGGGATGGTTTCATTCACCCAACTTACATGCTGAGAACAACAGACCTGAACTTTGCTAATGGGAGTGGCAATTAGGGTTTTGTATTGGTAACTTTGATTGCATGTGATCATCCTTTTTGTGTCACTTTTAATAAACTTGCCTATTTCATGGCCAAATTTTTTTGTGTTTATCTAATTTATTATCTTCTGTTATAAAATTGGGAAGGGGAAAGCATGGATATTTTTTTCACTGAAGGCTTTTGAAACTATTGTCATACCATTGCAAAACTTATCTGATACAAAGATTCCATAGTTCCTTGTGGCAGTTTAATAAAATTGTAAACCAGACCTGATGATCTGCAGGTAGAATACTACTGCCTTGTCATCTTTACCAGACACATGCGCCAAGCAGGCTATAGGCAAACACACACATGCTGCAGTACTTTGGTCTTTAACTGGGAAACAAAGCAATTCTAAGTGGTTCCTCTACTCAGATGCCCATGTGAAAACCAGTTATTTCCACGTTCTTTATTTAATGCTTTGAGTGAACATTTTACTTACTGTGAAAATAAGGTATTTAATATTAGTTTTAGATCTAGCCTATAATTCCTGATGCTTACTCTACTGAGCCAATATTTAGAAGAGTCAAAAACTTCTAGTTTTGGCTGAGTGCGGTGGTTCATGCCTGTAATCCTAGCACTTTGGGAGAGGCTGAGGTGGGAGGATCGCTTGAGGTCAGATTTGAGACCAGCCTGAGCAAGAGTAAGACCTAGTCTCTACTAAAAATACAAAAATTAGCTGGGTGTCATGGTGTGCACCTGTAATCCAGCTACTCAGGAGGCTGAGGCAAGAGGATCACTTGAGCCCAGGAGTTTGAGGTTGCTGTGAGCTATGATGATGCCACTACACTCTACCCAGTGTGACAGAGTGAGACTCTGTCTCCAAAACAAAACAAAACAAACAAAAACTTATAGTATTGGCTCTTCCACTAACTTGGGTATATTCTGCCTCTTGGTTCTTGGTACTGCCAGTCACAGAATGAAGGCAATCTCTAAGGTCCTTCTTAAGTCTGACATTCCATTTATAGGATTATGTAAAATAAGATTGAAACTGAGCACACAAATGTCTCATGCTTTTCTTCTTGGTGATTCCATGCACCACCATGCACAAACACGTGCAAACACACAAACGAATGCCTGGAAACATTCTCATGGAATAGGACTGCCTTCAGGAGGCATAACCATTTCTATACAGCAGAAATTGGCAATGTATTTCTATAAAGGGCTAGAATAATAAATATTTTAGCTTTGAGAGCCATAAGATCTTCATCAAAACTTCTCAATTATGCTGTCACAGCTCAAAAGCAGCCATAAACAATATAAAAAAGAATGAGCTTGGCTGTGTTCCAGTGAGACTTTAAAGATCTACACATATGCAAAGGTTCAATTTGTAATATTCCTAAGAGACAAAGTTATATAAGAGAGAGATAGTGGTTTAAATGTAGTTAAAATCACTGTCTCTGCAACCAAAGTGTCACTTACTAATGTTATGATCTTGAGAACATTACTTCACTTCTTTTGTGTTTTAGTTTCCTCAGCTATAAAATAAGTACAATATAGCATCTATATCATAGGGTCATTGTGAAAATTCAATGAGTAAATGTTTTAAAGCATGTAGAATAGTGTCCATACTATGTGTTTTATAATGGTTATTTAAATAAATGAAAAGCATAATAATGAGGAACATCTTTGAAAAATTTGAACTCATTATAGCATGAGTAATAGTGAACTACTCAATAAATAAGATCTTACATCAGAACCTTATAAAATTAATTCTGTATGGTTGAAGTTCAAATAAGAAAAGTAAATCTTTTAAGTATTTAGGTGATATTGTAGAAGGATATCTTTATGACCTTGGATTAGGGAAGGTTACTTTTCCATTACTTAACTTTTGTCTTAAGACACAAAAAGCAATAAGACCACGATGAAAATGATTAATACATTTTGAAGACCACAGCCCAGGTGGCCACATCTTTGGTGAATGAAGGAAGCAACCAACCAGGAGCCTGGTAGATGCCAGAAATGAGGTGAAGAAGATAATACAGTTGACTAAAATAAGGACCGAAGGGCAAATGATTTGTATATGCAAGTGGAGGAATAAAAGCTTGGAAACAAATGCTAAGACCTTTTCATCTTGGAGGGAGTGAAGTGTGGCAGGACAGGTAGGCTCGCTCATGGAAAGAACTGTTGGGGCACTGGTGTTATCACAAGTAGAACCTCCTTTCCCAAAGGAAGCCATGTGCTCACCGGCGTTATTACAATGCACATGAAATTGAAGAATAACAACGTGAGGGATGATTCCAGTTTCTGGATAGTCTGGTGTAGGGCAAAACTCAAAGGTAAAGTATCCGCAGGAATGTAAATAAGAGCTCTTCTCCAGATAAGCCAATATAAATATTATTTTTCTCAAATGAGAGTTTCATATGCACAATGGTTTTGATATTATTCTGCACAATATCTCCCTGGGATTTTGGTATAGTAGTTACATGTTGAGTTATTTAAGAAGCTGCCAAATTGTTTGATAGAGTGGCTGTACCATTTTACTTTCTCACCAGAAATGTCTGAGTGACCCAGTTTCTCTGCATCCTTGCCACTATATTTTATTTTAGCCATTCTAATAGGTGTGTAGTGGAAAGGCAAAGGAGCTAGAAGAGCTAAAACAAGTTTTTTAAAAGAAAAAGTCAAAGGAATAAGTCTACTCAGTTTCAAAATTTATTATTCAACTACAGTAATCAAAACTGTGGTATTTGGTAGAAGGCTATACACATAGACTAATGGAACAAAACAGAGAACTCAGAAACAGACCTACACAAATATGCCTAACTGACTTTCAACAAAGGTGTAGAGGCAGTTCAGTGGAGGAAAGACACCCTTTTCACCAAATGGTCCTGCAACAATTGGACATCCATAGACCAAAATATCAATTATGATTTAAACCACATCTTATATAAAAAAATTAGGTCAAAATGAATCATTTCATTTGAAACTTTTAGAAAAAAACAGGAGAAAATCTTTCGGACCTAAGGTGAGGCAAAGAATTCTTAGAGTAGATACTAAAAGCAAAATCTATAAATGTACAAACTGACAAATTGGATTTCATTAAAATCAAAAGTTTTGCTTTGCAAAAGACCCTTTAACAGGATGAAGCGACAAGTTACAGATTGGGAGAAAAAATTCGCAAACCACATATTTGACAAAGGACCCATTGACTACAACATACAAAGAAATCTTAAAACTTAACAGCAAAACAGGGAAACAATTCAATTAGAAAATAGTTAAAATATATAAATAGACATTTCACTGAAAAGGATTTACAGATGGCAAATTAAAAAATGAAAAGATTTTCAACATCATTAGGGAAATGCAAATTAAAGCCATAATGAGGTGTCGCTGCACACCTATTAAAGTGACTAAAATAAAATAATGACATCACCAAATGCTGGCGAGGATGCAGAGAAACTGGGTCACTCAGACGTTGATGGTGGGAATGTAAAATGGTACAGCACTCTGGAAGGTAGTTTGGCAGCTGCTTAAAAAGCTAACCATGTAACTACCATTCATCACAACAATTGCACTCCTGAGTATTTATGCTCACACAAAATCTTACACATGAATATTTATAGTAGATTTATTCATAAAAGCCCCAAACCTGAGTATAACCCAGATGTCCCTCAATGGGTAAATGGTTAGACACACTATACTGCTTCCATACCATGAAACACTACTTAGCAAAAAAAAAGGAACCGACTACTGACACACACAACCTAGATGAATCGTCAGAGAATTATGCTTAGTGGAAAAAGCCAATCACAAAACGTTATATATTATATGCATATATGAGATTCCATGTATATATAACACTCTTGAAATGAGAAAACCATAGACATGTGTAACCTATCAGTGGTTCCCAGGCATTAAGGAGGGAAGGATGGGTATAGGGAGGATAAAAGAGAAGAGACCTTGTGGTTCTGGAAATGTCTTGTATTTTGGCTGCACTGGTGCCAATACCCTAGATGTGATATTGTACTATATAGTTTTGCCAGATGTTACCATTGAAGTAAACCAAGCAAAAGATACCTGGGGTTCCTATTAATTCTTAAAGCTGCATGTGAGTCTATAATTATCTCAAAATAAAAAGTTTAATTAAGAAGAAGTATAGGCCTTAAGAAACTTGGAGCATAAAGCTCATCGGATAGTCAAAAACTGGAGCAATTCGGTAAGTCTCTTTTTTCTGCCCCAAAGGGGTTAAATTTTATTCTTTAGCAGTATTAGAACACCCCACAGCTAATATCCATTAGATGTAGACCGCACTTCTGAAAAGGCCTAAGGCGGGTGTGTGGGCATAGACAAAAGCTCTCCGTTTGTTTCCAGATCATTTGAAAATGCAGCAGGTGAGGGCTTTACTTGCTGGGGGAAGCCCAGGGAAGCCGCAAACGTCCCGAAGGGCCCACCGGGGACAGGAGCACCCCGCAGTCGCTGCGGGTGGCGCTGGGAAG